AGGGAAAGGCAAAGGTGGTGTTAGGAACTCTTTCAAGAGGGGACTTGGCATTGAGGGCAGCCTAGTGACAGGTACAGGGAATGGGGGCTGCTGAGGCCTTTCACGGAGTGTGCTCGCCTCACACTGTGGAATTCCTGAGAAGCGCAACCAGGGCCTGGGCAGGGAGAACGGAAGGCACAGCAACAGTGGCCCAGGCCTTCACGGCCAGCCTGGACCCCAGCACACCTGTGGGGGGTGCCTGCAGAGGCTGGAAATGTTGGAGAAGGAAGCCAAGGGGCAGCTAGGGTGAGTGGTCAGACTAGGGCCACTTTTGAGACCCCCTTCCAGTCCTGACATTTGAGGGTTCCATGAACCTGCAGAGCTGATTTAATTGGCGGTGTTGTCCTGTAGTCTTCAGCATGGGGAACAATTCTTACGGGCAGTGTGGAAGAAAAGTGGTCGAAAATGAAGTTTACAGGTGAGTTCCCGAGAGGACTACCCCTTCCCCAAATTGTGTCAAGCATTAAACAGCCGCTGAGTGATTATGATGTGATAGACCCACAGAGCTTCCTCATGCTGGAGAGGAGCAGTGAGAACTCACTGGAAGGCTGTGGAGAGTATCTTTCCGGTGCAGGTGGGAGGGAGGGCGTGTGAGCATTGACTGTTGATGTGTGGAACTTCTTTGATTTTGTTTGGTATTTTCACCAAATTGATTACCTTAAAAATTCCTCTAGTCTTTAAAAAAATTTCCCTCTGGTTCCTCACATTATGCTGGTAGGTCTAAACACCGGTCAGAAATCTGCAGCATATTAAAATCGCCAAAGGATTTTGTTTCATTTTCCTTTCACGCCCAGACCTACCTCTTCCTTATATTTGACCTTGCGAGTTTCCCTAACGTTGCTAGGTGTGTGGGGAGGCTGCTAGTTGGGGTGACGGGAGGGGCCAGAATCGCACAGTGCTTATCATGACCATATCTTTTGGTTCTCCCCAAATTGCTCCTGGCTGTAGTGAAAGTCACAAAGTCCACAGGATGCAGGACTTCGATGGACAGGTGGTCCAGGTAAGAGATGTGGGCTGAGAACCACTGTTACCACCCTGGGGGGTGATTTTGAAAGGGTGGAAGTTGGGTGAGGTGATGGCAAATTGTTAGGGGGATTTTCTGAATTAATAAATTATTTTAGTAAATATTGCCTGCCTACTATAGGCCAGGATTTACGCTAGCTTGTGGGGATACAAAGTTTAGTAAAAATTGGGGAGGGCGGGTAACAGTGGGGGAGGCAGGTTATAAAAACTAGCTGTCTCAGAGTATATTAAGGCTGTGTGTGTCCCAGGCTGCTTTATCTTGTACCCATGCTTGGGTACAGTGCCTGGCATATGGTAGATACTTAAATGCTTAAATATGTAAATGAGTGTCTACCGAAAGCACTTATGAAAGCACCAGAAGGAGAATAGTTACATCTACCAGGCGTGGACTGGAAGGAGAGACAGCATCATGGAGGAGGTAGCCGAGGAACTGACCAGCTGGGCCGGGGTGGGTGGTAGGAAAGGTTTTATGGCAGAAGGAGCAGCCTGAAGGCTTGATGGTGCCGAGAGCATGCAGTGTGGCTGGAGTGTGGTGTGCCTGCCTGCGGTGGGGCGGGGTGGAACCGGCTGGAAGACGGGTTGAGAGGGGACGATGCAGGGTCTTATACACCTCATTAAGGAGTTTAGGCTTCGTCCTCTTGGTGGTCAGGGGCTGCCAAAGGTTCTGAGAAGGGTGAGTGACAGCCGAGTCACGATCTGTTTAAGAAGATAACTTTGGCCATGGAATAAAGTTGAAGGAGGAGGTGAAGTCCAGGTGGGAAGCTGTGGGGAGAAGGGACAGGTGAGGAGACGTAAGGAGAATTGACCAGATTCGAGGCTTGATTAGACGGGCAGGGAGGGAGCTAGAAGGAGCCAAGTGTGACTCCACAGGCCGATGGGTGGCGCTGACGTCCTTGGCCCAGGTGGCAGAGTCCCGGAGCAGGGGAGGTGAGGAGCAGGTGGAGAGGGAGCTCGTTTCCAAGGTGGCGGTGGAGTGGAGTGTGCATGTTGCCCAGGCTTCAGAGCCACCTTGATGCGGGTTCAAGTTCCTGCTTGTCCACATGTTAACTGGGTGACTTGGGGCAAGTTACCAAACTTCTCTGAGATTCGGTTTCTTACTGGGTGGCCTTGGTCATTGACTTAGCACAGTGCCTGGCGTAAGGAATGTTTGCTAAATGGTGCTTTTCATTAGGCAGTTAGCAAAGTAGGTCTGGGACTCAGCAGAGTGGTTGAGACTGGAGATGACCGCGTGGTGGTGGCAGCAGAAGCCGTGGGGGTGGGTGCCATCTCCCAGGAAGCGTGCAGAGCGAGAAGGGCAGAGGGCAGACCTCAGAGGAGGATTCCAGCCCTGTAGGGTCCGAAGTGGAGACTGAGCTAGTGACAAAGACGGGACACTGTTGGGGGGTGTGGGAGAGAGGCTTATGGAGGAGGGAGGAGGGTGGGGGAGCTCCCGGCTTCGCTCCTTAGGACACCTGGCACTGTTCTTTTTTTTAGCAAGAGCAGTTTCAGGGGAGTAGGAGACACAAGCTGGGCTGCGCTGGAATGAGAGAGAGTCAGATGCGATGCGGAGCAGAGCAGGACAGCCTACCGGCCCAGCCCCCTTGGCACTCAGGAGCCATGGGGAGTGGTGCCCGGCTTTGGGCACTTGGATCAGGACACCGGCTTCTAAGGATTCCTTCTCACCAACCTCACCTCTGTTTGTGTGATAGGTCGCCTGCGGTCAGGACCATAGTCTGTTCCTGACGGATAAAGGAGAAGTGTATTCTTGTGGATGGGGCGCGGATGGGCAAACAGGTAGCGTCCCTCCCACCCCCGCCCCCCTCCCTGTGGGATGGTGCTGCTGCCTTCATCTGACTCTTCTCTCTCCTGTCACTTCCTGGGAATGCTGTTCTGTTGCGTCCCCTCCCGTCCCCCTCACCGGCTCCCCGGATCGGATAGAGGATTGGAGAGTCCCGCAACAAGTCTGAGTCTTTTAAGAGACAAATGCCACCTAAAGGGAGCTCGATTTTAACTCATTTGAGAAGAATGTGATTAAGGGAGGGAGGAATGAGGGATAAGCTTTATCATCCTTGTATATTTTTTTCCTGTGTTTGATATTTGTCTGAAGGGAGGACCTTAAGTTTAAGATTTAAATCTTGTGTACATCTTCTATAACCCTCCTGCCTCATCACATCATCTATGTTCCTTGACTCATGTTTTCTCCCAAGTTCTTGTTCATATGTGAACATCTTTTATGGTAATCATAGCAGAGGTGTGATTTTATATGCTTGTTTTATCATTAAATTTACATGAAACATTTTTACATGTTGGTATAATTTTCAGTTACAGTTTTTAATATTTGTATGGTACAGCATCAAACTAATGTACCATAAGGTGAGTTAATCATTTTATCAGGTGATTACTCATTACCCTGTTGTCAGGAGGCATACTTTTTTGGGGGTGCAGTAGCCATTGGAGATATGACATTTATCATGTATAGACATCTAGCTTTTTCTTTCATTTGGAGTGTTGCCCTAGATAAATTCCCAGGAGTGGGTCAGAGGATTAGAATATTTTTATTGTTTTCAGAATGTGTTGTTAAATTGCTTTCCAAAAGCTTTACTAGTTTATATTGCCATCAGCAATGCATAGAAGTATCAGTTTAATCATAACCTCTCTAGCAGTGAGTATTGTCAATTTAAGTGTCCTAATTTAATTACAATGCCAGTTTTAAAAATGTGCCTTTTTTTTATCTATAAAGTGGAAGCTTCTTTTTATTTTCTAAAATCTGGGTGTGGGTAACTTTTAAAAATCAGCTTTTCATGAAAAGAATGAAATTGTTGCTACATTTTGACAGCATAGACCAAGGAATATGGTGAAAAGTGAAAGTCCCACTCGCTGGAGATAACTGTGGATAACAGTTTCCTGGTGCCATTCCAGAAGCTCCACTGTCACATGGCCTCACTGCCCTTGCTTGCCAGGCTCTGAGTCCAGCCCCACGAGCCCCCTGCAGCCCGTTCTTGAGCCTGTCCTCCTCTGTGCTGCCACCATGCCTTTGCACATGCTGTTCCTGTAGCCTAGAATGCTCTCTTGTGCTCTCCTTTTCATCCTGTAGGCCTCAGCTTGAGGTTGTCTCTTCAGTGAAGGCTCCCCTGACCATCCTGTCTAAAGCAGTTTCTATCTCAGCATCCTTTTTCTTTCATAACCCTTCAACATTTTGAATTACTTTTAAAAAATCTTTTTTATTATACATGGAGTACATAATAACAGGCTTTTTGCCTGTTGCCAAGGGGTGCTGCCAGTCTGACACTGCTTTGGGCCCCTTTGAGAAAGCCTGGTACAAGCACGAGTCTGTGGTTCAGGGTTCTACCTTGGTCTGCTGCCCAGGGGTTACTCTCCATTGCAGTGCTGATGGTGACATTTGTCCTCCGGGCAAGCCCCGTCTTTTCCTCTGGTCACTGTGTACCACACCAGTTTGCCAGTTTTGATTTGTTGTAGTTGGGGGATGGTGTGGGGTGTGGGGCTGAGGTGGGATGGGCTCTTAGAGATTTCTTTTATGTTCTAGCAAGCCCAGCAGTGCATTAGGAATTGCTTCTTGTAACTTTGGTTTCCCAGTGCATATGGAAGTTATGTTTACACTACACTGTAGTCTATTAAGTGTGCAATAGCATTATGTCTAAAAAATGTACGTATCTTAATTAAAAAATACTGCCTCCCAAGTGCCAACCATCATTTGACAATACAGGGTTGCCACAAACCTTCAATTTGTAAAAAATGCAGTATGTGTGAAGTGCAATAGAACGAGGTGTGCCTGTATGTAATATATAAGGTCTGATAGGTTCATTGTGTGTTGGTGTTTCATCCTGAAAAGGTATGTAACTTGAATCAGACTTAGAAAATATCAAGGGTTTTATTTATTTGTTTATTTATTGAAATTCTGTTTATTTATTTTGGCTGTGCCGGGTCTTAGTTGCGGCACGAGGGATCTTCGTTGCTGCACGCGGGATCTTTTAGTTGTGGCATGTGGGATCTTAGTTCCCTGACCAGGGATCGAACCCTGGCCCTCTGCATTGGGAGTGCAGAGTCTTAACCACTGGAACACCAGGGAAGTCCCATCAAGGGTTTTAAAAGTAAACAATTACTATGATGGTTTTTCCTCTTCTGAGAGAAAATGGAGAAGGAAGTTGTACAGCATGTAGAATAACAGATTAGGATTTTGAGTTGATGTTTGCAAAGTGCTTAAAACTGTGTTTGACACATAGTAGGTCAGTGCAAGTGTTTGTTAAAAGAATAAACAATTAAAAGTCAGTAACACAGTTTTCCACTGTTCCAGGTCTGGGTCACTACAATATCACCAGCGCACCCACCAAGCTGGCTGGAGACCTTGCCGGAGTGAACATTGTCCAGGTGTCCACCTACGGGGACTGCTGCCTGGCTGTGTCGGTTGATGGCGGCCTCTTTGGGTGGGGGAACTCCGAGTACCTGCAGCTGGCCTCTGTCACGGACTCCACACAGGTAAGACCCCACGAGGTCCTCTGCAGCCTGGGGCTGGGGGTTTGGAGATAGAGTGTTAAGGATGTTTAGAAGAGATCCTTCACGAAGGGGTGATGTGTAGAGTGCTGTGTAGGCCTCACCTGTGCTACGGCTGCCTCTTCAAGGGGCCGAGTTCTTGGCAATCTCATTGGAGCCTGGAAAGAAAGCTTAGATGCAAAAGCCATCATTATCAATACTTCGATGAGATAGTCCTGCTTTAGAGCAGTAGTTTGGGTATGTCTGCATGCCCTGTCTTGTTCTGAAAGGGATGTGAGGCTGTTTACATAAGTTCCTGTGATGTCACAGTCGGCCTCTTGTTGCCGTCTAGTGTGCGTACCCCCAAATATACAGATCTGAGGTGTGCACCTTGATGAAGACACCTGTGCGGCCCCTAGATCATGCAGTAGGGCATTGGCAGTCCTGCTGGTGGCCTCTCCCTGTCACACCGTCAGTACAGTACAGTAGGGTTTTAAACGTTTTATTAAGGAAAATTCCAAACGTAAGCAAAAAGTAGACCTTACTGCATAATTAATCTCTGTGTATCCATCATCCATGTTCAACAATTACCAACTAACGGCCCGTTCAAAAAAATAGGTAATTTACTGTTTTAAATTGTGTGACTTAGTGGTTTTTAGTATATTCTCAAGGTTATGCAACTGTCCCCACTAATTCCAGAACATTTTCATTCACCCTCTCCACCCTGCTCTCCAAAAAGCCCCATACACCTAATGGCCAGTCTCGTTGCATCTGTAATTCCATCTGCTTCTCTGTCCTGCGTTATTCTGAAGCAAATCCTAGACATCATATCCATAAATCAGCATGTATCTCTAAGTGATAAGGACTTAATGTCATCAAACTTCTGACAACATACAGAAGGGTTTTAAATATATTAATAGATAAAGAGATATGCACAAATGGATGAGATCAGCTAACTGGATGAAACAATTCATTCTCTGCGGTCTGACACAGTAGCTCGAAGTGGCTGCAGATTTGGCTCTGAGCTCTCTAGTAGCCAAAACAGAGACGAAAATGTGGTCATTGAAATGATTCATTGTTTCCATAAGATAAATAGCAAATAAAATGTTTAGAAGAGGGACTGGCCTTCCGGATAGCAAGGCCTGAGATCAGTGTCTCCCACGGCCTTCCTGTGAGGGCAGATCTAGGGTCATGTCATAACTATCTGTGCTGCATGACAGAGGACCCCAACACGTAGCGGCTTAAAACAACACACATTTATTGTCTCACCGTTTCTGTGGCTCAGGAACCTAGGGGTGGCTTAGCTGGGTCTCTGGCTCTGAGTCTCTCAAAGGCTGGTGTCACCTTGGGGTTCACCTTGGGAAGGCCCTGCCTCCGGGCCCGTTCTGGTTTTTGGCAGAGGGTGTAGGTCCTCGTGGACTGTTGGCCCTGGGGCCCCAGGTCCTCGCTGGCGCTTGGCCAGCTCACAGTGGTTGTCCAAGCCTTCCTCGGCTCCTTGCCATGCAGGCTTCTCCAAGTGGTGGCTCACAGCGTGGCTTCGGCCGAGTGAGCCAATGAGAGGGCGAGAGAGTGTGTCGGTGAGACGGAAGCCAGTGCTTCGTAAGTTCATCTTGGCAGTGCCTTCCGCTCACGTTTGCTGGAATTCTGTTCTTTAGAAGCAAGTCCCTAGGCCTAACTCCCACACACAAGGGCGCAGATTATCCATGGTGTACTAGCACAGACGGGTCACTTGTTTTGGAAGCAGCCCACCACATCCATGATTCTTTACGTGGTCCGAGCCTCATCCTGTCAGTGACAACAGTGGTGCGTTTCCAGTGGCTCTTTGCTGGAGCGTTTCTCAGCCTTTGCCAAGGGCCCTGTGCCAGAGCCCAGTTGGGTAGAGAAGCTGTGAGAGCCAGGCAGCAGACACCAGGCCAGGCCAGCAGCCTCGCGTCATCTCGGATCAGTAAGCCCCTTTATTCCTTTGGAGTCATCTTAGGGATTGTTACCCTCCAGCTGTCTCCATTTGCAAGTGACTCTGAAAAGATTCATGGCTGTCACGGAAGCACTTAAAATCTATCTTGCAAAGTTATTTCTCAGTAGGGGTGCCAAGACCAAATCCTGCTGGACAGCTAAGTTGGCCACATTTCGTTCTCCCAACCCCTGAGCCTCCCATCTGTCACTGTGAGCAGAAGTGCTACTTGGCCGTCTCTAGGCACTGCAAGTTCAGTACATCCCGGAGTGAATTCATGCTCAGCCCGACATCCTGGCCCTTCTCCCTTGTTACCCACGTCCACTCACGTTCCCCTCTAGAAATCACGTCCCTCTCCCACTTGGAACCCTTGCTGCCTCCCTGTTGTGCTTAGGATAGAGACCAAACCCTTGCCATGATCAACAACGTCCTGCGTGATCTGGTTTCCCTTCTGCCCGCCGGCATCTTATAGATACTCCCCCTTGTGCCCCTGCTTCAGCCACTCTGACCTTGTGTAAGCTCCTGAACGGGCCACACTCACCTTGCTCCCTTTTCACGTCCATCTTGCTGCCTCAGGATTGCCTTCTCTTCTCCCCTGGCCCGCTTACTCCTGATTGCCCCTCCCCGCACACCAGATCAGGTCCCCTGACACTCACGCCAGGGACCCCTGTACTCTCCTTCATTGCATTCAGCACAGGTTCATCCTGTGTTAGTTTTGGCTGACATCTGCCTCCCCCACTGGACTACAGTCTGAGAGCGGGGCTGCTTCTCCTGCTGCCTGTCACCTGCCCGGCGTGCAGTTAGAAGCTTAGCATGTGTACGATGTTCAGGAGATATATGGGGAGGGAATGAATGAACTGGGACTTACCTACTCTGTACGTGAAACAGTATTTCCAAGTTCTCGCTGGTTTGTCTTCCTAACAGTGTGGTCCCTTCCTTTGATCCAGGTGAACGTCCCCCGGTGCTTGCCTTTCTCAGGAGTCGGGCGGGTGAAGCAGGCTGCGAGTGGGGGAACAGGCTGTGCTGTATTAAACGGTGAGACCCTCTTGCAGGCAGTTTGTTGGGAAGCTGTGGGTGGGTTGGGTGAGAAAGGGTTGGTGTCCGCTGAATTCAGGCTGTGGTTTTCGGTGCGGGGAGCATGGTTGTGGGAAGATCTAGTTAGTTTAGTTCAGTTAATAGAGGGTGAGGGTGAGGGTGACATTCTTGACAGAAGGATAACAGCCATGATTTATAGGTCGACGAACAGCCAGCATAGAGCTGAGTAACTATCGCAAACCTCTGGAGTGGAGGATGAACTACTGCTCCCTCTCGAAGCCTGGGCCAAAGCCCCCAGGCCTGCCTTCTCCAGAAAGGCCATGCTAAGAGCCATGGGCACGTAGGAGAAGAGCCTTAGGGTTCAGGTACTGGGAGCCAAGCCCCTGGGATTAAACGTCTGGCACCACTGATGAGTAGTAAACTTTTTATGACCTGAAAATCATTACAAATTTTAGAATCTAGCCAGAAGTTGTGTGTGTACTTGGCTTGGTCTTCTGATCCGTGTGAGACGTAGCACTGTTAGGAAAAGCTGCCCTTCTAAGCCTCTCCTGTGTTCACGTGGGGTTTGTGGCTGATTTATGGAGTGGCCCCGTCCAGCACACTCAAGATGTAGGACATTTGTATTGTGAGATTGGTTAGCTGGCTAGACATACTCCACAAGCAAGAATTTGAAAGAGGAGAAAAGAAACATTATTTTAAATATCAACATGTTCTTGCCAAGCAACAAGAGGGGAAAAAAAAAGTCCATGTGGATATAATGCATCTTGGTGGTGTGGTTCGAATTTCTAGCGAGGGAGGGCTGCACTTCGTTTGACTTCCTGACCGTTGTTTTTACTGTAATCCAGGAGAAGGACATGTTTTCGTCTGGGGCTGTGGAATTCTTGGGAAAGGACCAAACCTCATGGAAACTGCCCTTCCAGAAATGATTCCACCCACTCTCTTTGGCTTGACGGAGTTCAACCCAGGAGTCCAGGTTTCCCGCATTCGCTGTGGACTCAGCCACTTCGCAGCCCTCACCAGTAAGTGGCCAAGTCCGTGTGGCCCCAAGGCCTTACCGAGCTTCACCCTCTCAGGTTCAGCCCCAAACCCTGGGCTGCTCTCAGTTGCCATCCATCCAGTGGAGTGGCACCCTTGTGTGGATAATTAAAGAGAGCAGCTAATCCAGAAGTTGTTTGGCTTGAGGTGGTCTAATGTGTGTCTCCTTTTCACCCGGGAGGTTTGTTTTCAGTTCATTTGGTTTGTGGTTAGGCTGGCGTTGCAGTGACTTTTCTCAAGCGGATGCAGTCGGTGGTGGGAGAGGGGACCCTCGAGTGGGCCGGGCTGCTGGGGGAGACCCGCGGAGGTTTGGTACATCGTGGTGGGTGAGGAGGAAATGAGCGTGGGGGGCTTCATCCCGGTCCCTGGCCAAGCCCGACCCTCATCCGAGCCAGGAGCGTGGGGCGGCAAGAGGCATATTTATAAGACCATCCTGTGGTTTAGAGGGGGTAGATGTGCCCGGTTTCTCCAAAGTGCTGGGGGGAGTGATTGAAGGGGGGCTGAAATGAAGGTTTTCTCAGAGGGTTGCCCAGTTACAAAGCCACGACATCCAAAGTTACTCTGCAGACCTCCCGCGTGTCTGCGCTTCTTGATTACAGCTCTCATCCCGCCACCGCGGCTGTCGGCTCAATTTGCTCCTCGTTAGTTGATTTGAATAGTAAGACGGAACTAAATTTCATTTTGTGATTCTCAAGTAAATTCACTTTTTCCTTGCAATTTAAAGACCGTTTTGCTTCACGGCAAGCTGTTGTTTCCTTTAGAAACATCTGGGCCGGGACAGTCAGTTTGGGTGGTCCTCGTCTGTGTTCCCCGGCCTAGCGCTGCCGTGAGGACTGCTGCAGGCGAGCACGCTGTTGCAGAGTCCTCAGTGCCGTTCAGTCAGTGTCTGCGTTTCAGGGTTTGGGCGGCAGCAGCTGCAGCGTGGGCCGCTGTGTGGAGGTGGGTGGAGTGTTGTCTGTACGCTGAGGCACTGGGTAGCAGCAGTGGTGTCCAGGGTGGAGGACCCCTCACACCCATCACGCAGGGTCAGCCACCTTCATCTGCAAATGCGTCTGTGTCACATTGGCGTTTTAAAGCTATTGTGATGTAGCAGATAGAGTCAGTGTGGGTGAATTCTGGAGGTAACAGTAACCTATTTCCCCAATGTTTAGGGCTTAAACTATGTGCAAAGTCGTGTACTTGGAAACCCGGATGAAGCCTTTGACTAGGGTAGATTGCTTTGTCTGCTGTCGTGCCATGCGGCCATTTGGGGTCACACTGGAATGAAATCCTACCTAGATTTCCCCCAAGACCCAACAGCCACCCTCCAAGTGCCAGTGACTGTCCCTCAGTAGGGGGAGCCTCAGAGCCTGGCTTCCTCTGGTTTGCCCTGAGGTCTGCTAACAGGTTGGGGGCCAGACTGAATTGTTCTGTTAAACACAACCTCTGAGGTGGAAGACCAAGGACGGCAGCAAGGCCAGAGGGCTCTGACAGCGCGTCCCAGGAAGGTCCCTTTACTTCATCAGCCGGTTGTTTCAGTGCCAGCTCCCCCACGTCTTCCCTTCGTCCGTGACCAGCGCCTTCTGCCAGAGGGGGCTGGTAAATGGGGCCTCCGTGCCGAGGATGCCCCCGGCTGGTGTGGACGGAAATCTGCACTGAGGGCCCTGCCCAGCCTGAGGGTCCATCCTGGAGCTGGCGTTCCCAGAGCCCCAGTCTGGATTCAGTCCCCTGGCCTGCCCCTCCAGCACCCTGCCTGTCCTTTTCCTTCATGGCGCTGTTTACAATTTGAAAACATGCATTTGTTGGTTTAATCGTTTGTTTAATTTTCACTCTTCAACTAGCTCCAGCCCCATGAGGACAGGAACATGCGTGTCAGTCCCCATGCTGTCCCAGCTCCTAGCACACAGATGTCTCCTAGCACACAGCACACAGGTGTACGCTCGACCCAAAGAGGGACCCAGTCACCGTGTGTCACTTGACCAAATGCTCCTGTGATGTGGAGACCCGGACAAGAAATGACAAATTGTCCTACTTCTCACTCTGTCAGGGCGCGACCAGGATTAGAGGATGCTGAGATTTCAGGATTTGTGGAGGGCAGGGTTTCGTTAGACATAAGTGGGCGATGAGGGTGTGTGTGTAAGGGCCGCGTACAGGAGCCCCCTGGGCCCACCTCCAGGCATGTGTTCATCTCCCATGAGAGGGACACAGCATGAATCTGGGCCAGGACATGTTTTTGGCATGGGGATGGTACTGTATACTTGTCCCTTTAGAAGAAAGCATTAATGCCTGGGAGAAATTGAAGTTTAACTTTGATCTTTTTGTACCTGGTTCTAGAAAGCCTATTCTCATGACCCTTCCTCCTCTTGGAGACTTGCCCTTGGCCTCAAGCCCCAACCAAGCCGTTTTTCTTTATTTGCAGACAGAGGAGAGCTGTTTGTGTGGGGCAAGAACATCCGAGGCTGCCTGGGAATCGGTCGCCTGGAAGACCAATATTTCCCGTGGAGGGTAAGGCTGGGCCGGGCGGGTGCGAGGGTGCGTGCCCGCAGGGCAGACTCACCTGATGCAGCAGCCCGGCCAGCACCGGGTCCCGGGCTTCCAGTCCCTGTGGTGCCTGTAAGAAGCCTCCTCAGAGGCTGGCCTCGGGCACACGGGTGCCTCAGGGAGGAGCGAGCTGCAGGCCGGGTGCCTCGGGGCTCCGAGAGGGAGAGGGTTGAGATAAAGAAGTTGACGTGCCAGGAGCTGTTTACAGAGGCCCGTGGGGAGGACTGCTGTACAGTGGATTTAAAAGAAAGCGGGATGTTTAATGTTCAGAGTGCCTTACCACAGCCATCAGAGTGAAACATGAAGGCTCTTCTGAGGGGAGGATGCGATTACACAAAAAGGCTCATTTTAGAATTAAAGGGGAAGAGGGTTCCTGCTTAAGTTGTAGTTTATCTTAGTGTCGTTTACTAAGTCAGTTCTTTAAGTTCTTCAAAAAAAAAAAAAGGCTATTTATTTTTTTGAATACAGAACATATGGACGTGGTACAAAATGTATTATGAAAGATAAGTCTCCCGTCTCTTGTCCCAGAGGCAGCCACTGGTTCCGGTTTCATCGTTCCCTTCCAGAGATAGGCTCTGTGCAGAGGAGCAGGCGCCTGTGTGCGTGAGCGCCTGTGTGCGTGCACTTGCGTGTGTTCGCGTGTGTGTACGTGCCTAAGTGTTTCCTTTGAAGGTTAGGTTTTAACGTGTTTTGAGGTTGTGTAAAGCATTTTTTAAAAAACACATGTAAAAATGGAAAAGAAACGTGTAATAAAATAATAAGGGGGACTTCCCTGGTGGCACAGTGGTTAAGAATCTGCCTGCCAATGCAGGGGACACGGGTTCGTGCCCTGGTCCGGGAAGATCCCGCATGCCGCGGAGCAACTAAGCCCGTGTGCCACAACTACTGAAGCCCAGCAATGAGGGAAGCCACCACAATGAGAAGCCTGCGCATTGCAACGAAGAGTAGCCCCTGCTCGCTGCAAATAGAGAAAGCCTGCGTGCAGCAACGAAGACCCAACACAGCCATAAAGGAAGGAAGGAGGAGAGAGAGAGGGAGAGGAGGAGGGAGAGGGAGGTAGAGAGGGAGGGAGGAAGAAAGGAAAGAAGGAAAGGAAGGAAGAAAGATTTATCAGTCAACAACCCACGGAAAATGTTTCAAGGCACTCACTTTGGTGTTTTAGGGGCTCTTTCTCTCAGCCCTCTCCTTGGCTACTGGCTCTCCTGGCTCCCCTGAGCTCGGCAGGCCCTGACTCCAGTGCTTTCTCTAAGAGAACACGTCAAAAGGGAGACTTTAAACTTGTTGGAAAAAAATGACTGTTCCCAGCCTGGCTGGTGCTGACCCACTTGTTCCCGGGGGACCCCACCCCGGGTGAGGAAAGGCATGGCGGCGGGTGGTCAGTGGCCGGCAGCTCAGGGAACACGGAGCAGTTAGAATCCTGCTGGTTCTGGGAGCTTCTCGCAGCCCTCTCTTTAACAGCCCCCCCCGCCCCCCCCCACCACAAGGGACTTCCTTCTGAGGGGCAGCTGGGGAAATGGCCAAGCAAGTGGGTTTTGAATGAATGACCGTTGTGACTAGGGGCTCCCCACCTGCCTCATGTCCTCCCAGTTAGAGCGAAGATCAGCCGTGAAATCAGGTTTGAGAGCGTTTTCGTTGTCCAAGTGGCCGGGCCAGGCTTGGCCTCTGTGGTGGAGTGCCAGGCCTGGGGGCCGATGCCCCGTTGTTCAAGCCGGACCCCTGCGCCGAACGTCCCTCTGAAGTGTCGTTCCCGGCCTCCATGCCATCAGGGAAAGGGCACTCTGGTCTGTTCCTGTGACGGCTGCTTTCATGCCCCACACCATTGTCTCCCCCTGTGTGTCTGTAGAGCTCCTTCGCCCCCCGTGTCACCTTTTGGTCGGGGTTGGGAGGATGCTGCTGAGGTCCATGCCAGCTCCAAGATGCGAGGCTGGGGTCTGGGACTCTGGGTGGTGACAGGAACCAGGTTTTCGATCAACTAGGTTGGATTCCTTAAAGGTTAGTCTCTTGTTGGGTAGTTGGACCTTTCTCCAGTCTGTTCTGTTGTCGCTTAAAAAAAAAATTGCAGGTGATTTTTATTCCTTAAACAAACACTATTTTCTTATTAATCTTAAGTAGGGGATATGTTACATCATTTAAAAAGTATTCCAAGAAAGAAAAAAAAGAGTAAAGCCATGTTTGTAGCTCCTACAGTGGTATCATCTAGTTATTCTTAGACTTACTTACAGAGCTTGGGCTTTTCTGATGATTCGTAGGCCTAGGAAGTGACATCTGAGTCACCTGATTGAAACCTCTCCTTCCGGAAGCTGTCCAGGATGTTTTCCTCCTCCACATTGATGCTCAGAGAGGTCCAGTGATTTCTTTAAGGTCACACACCTAGTAAGAAGCGGAGGACTTCCCTGGTGGCTCGGTGGTTAAGAATCCGCCTGCCAGTGCAGGGGACACGGGTTCGAGCCCTGGTCCGGGAAGATCCCACATGCCGCGGAGCAACTAAGCCTGTGCACCACAACCACTAAGCCTGTGCTCTAGAGCCCGTGAGCCACAACTACTGAGCTCACGTGCCACAACTTCTGAAACCCGTGCGCCTAGAGCCCGTGCTCCGCAACAAGAGAAGCCACCGCAATGAGAAGCCTGCGCACTGCAAGGAAGAGTAGGCCCCGCTCGCCACGACTAGAGAAAGCCCGTGTGCAGCAACAAAGACCCAACGCAGCCATAAACAAAAATAAATAAATAAATATTAAGAAAAAGTGGAGCCAAGAATCAGACTCAGAATTTCTGACTTTAAGACATCACCATGGTCCCCCTCCTCTGCGAGGGCCTGAGCTGGGTTCCCCTGGAGTCCCCGCAGTGGAGGGAGGGCGAGGTGGAGGTGGGGACCCTCTGCCCAATGGCAGCCCTGCGGGCCTGGGAACAGGACACTGGGGAGAGCTTTCGAGTGGCGCCACCCCCACCCCCACTCAGGCCGTGCCCTAACTTTCCATCGCACATGACCGCCATTCTCAGGGGCCGGTGCTTTGCACCGTCTCTCTTATGCTCAGAACAGCCTGTGAAGGTTGGGCTGCCCCCAGCCTGCCCCCCAGCCTGCCCCCGTGCACACTGACTTCAGGATTCGAAGCTGCTGGCCCAGTCTCTCAGCTGTGCAGTGGGTGGGCTGCGACGTGAACTCGGTGCTCTGAGTGCAGATGACGCTTCCCCCTCGCCTTGCGCCTCTCTGGTGGGGCTTGGGTTGGAGCACAAGCTGGGAACCCTCTGCTTCCTGGGCCTCTTTCTTACCTGGCTGCTTCAGGAGCCACAGGCCCTGGCAGTTCTGACGCCCCAGGGGAGGGCGCGCAGGGGCTGGGCCTCCCCGCAGGCTGAGCCGGCTCCCCTCCCGGGTGTGGCCTGGCTCCTGGGTGCCGGGCAGGGCATCCTGGGTGCAGCTGAGTGAGGACACGGCAAGTCCGGTGGCCGGATCACGGCTGGCCCAGCGCTCCTCTCTGCCTTCCTCTGCCCTTCACCTGGTGGGTGTGTGTCTTGGGAACTTGTCCTGGTGCAGAGCTGTTCCTACACTGATTCTGCTCAAACTTTTCAGAGTCACTCAGGCCAAATATGGTCCGTTTTCTGGAACTGTTTGCCTTTGCAACAATGTGAGTGTAAATTGGTTTAGAATAGAAAGTCCTTTTAACCCTGATGAGGCCACAAATAAAACGTGGCTGAGGGCAGCCTTCTCTTGGACTCAGTTCAGAGGCTGACAGTGAGAGGCAGTTGGCCAGGGGGAGCTGGGGCCCCGGGAGCCACCTGCTGCTCCCCAGAGAGTCTCCTGGGGCCAGCGTCAGCCATGACCATCGTCCCGGCGAGTCAGCCAAGGCGAGGTGGCTCCCTCTGCTTTGGGTTCTGATGGTCACAGCCCTTGGGGAACAAGGACAGAGGTGCCTAAGTGTGACAGCTTGGCCGCAGGTCAGCGCGGAGAGTGGCCCTTTCCTGGGGAAGGTCAATAAAGGTGCTCTCGTGGCCCGGGGAGGTTGCTAGGAGCTCACCTGGTCTGGTCACCCCAGGCAGCATGTTTTCTTCTGCTTCTATGGCCAGACTGGAACGCTTTCTGCAGCTCTGGGCCTTTGCGATGAGCTGAGGGCACCGCTGCATGTTTGTTCAGTGATTTCTGTAACAGGTTTTGCTGAAGGCGTTTGTTTAGGGACGGGTGAGTAGCACGACTTGGCTGCTAGCATCCGTTTGCCTTGTGGCCGGGAGACCCTAATGGACTTGTCTCTGAACGGTTGATGTTGCTGCCTCTGGGCTTTTAGGGCAGGCCATCTGGACGAGGCCTTTCCCTCTGAAGCTCAGTAAACTCCGCAGGCTGTTACAGATCCCTCTCCAGCTGTCACGCTGCCCCGCTGAGCACTGCCACGGGGGAGGGATGGCAGGATTCGGATCCGGTCAGAAGAGCAGCGTCGGCGTCCTGGCCGGGCTGAGCGGGAGGTGGTGCAGGTGCTCTGTCTTAGAAATTGCCCCCTAAGAAGACACTACACTCGCACCGGCTTTCTGCGTCCAGAATCTCTGGAAAGACAAGAAACCAGTTAAAAGTAGTTTCCAGCTCAGAGGGAAGGTGGGGAGCAGGGCACGTGATGACAGGGTGGCGTCCAAGGGTATTTAATACCTTTTCTTCTTTTCTCCTGAGTGTCATTTTATATCGTAGCCACGTGGCTATCACCTATTCAAAGTAATTCAAAGTAATAATAACATTTATAATAATAATACAACAAGAGGAGAAAGCAAAGTGCCCCTCTCCTGGAGAACTGGGTGGCTGTGTGCACCTGGAGATGCCACCTGTGTTGTGGGCACCATGGAGTTTGGAGGGAGGGGGTCCATCTCCACGGCCCTTCTGCGGGGCAATGAGAGTCAGTGTCAAGGCCAGCAGGCTGGAGCCTCCACACGCACGAGGCTGTCCGCACTTCACCTGGAGGGTTGGGTCTGCCTGTGACGAAGTGGTGTCAGTGTGGGTGAGTGTCGGCAGGGCTGCCAGCCAGGCCTCTGGCACCTTCTGAGACGAAGCAAACACCCCTCCTCTGGGGCGCACAGGACCTGGGAGCAGCCTGCCTGGGTCTGGAGCTGATGGGTAGAGCGGGTGAAGACACTGGGCTGGGAGGCCTCCTTCCCACGGTGGACCCTGAGGGCAGGGAAGGGCAGGGCAGGAGGGTTTCTGGAGCTGCTCCAGGGAGCTGTCTGGTGTCCCCTGGGAAGGGTCCCTGAACAGCTGGCTTGAGCGCAGCTTTGACCTCTGGGGAGTCACACTCATGGGGAATGGCCTCTGTGGGGTGTGCACGTCCCGGGACGGTGCAGGCAGGGTCCGTGCGCGTGCCCAGAGCGGCCTCTTGGGGGGTGCTGCCCGGGTCTGGGTGGGGGGTCAGGACGGCCCTTCCCACGGTGGGTGCATCTGCCTTTCCCAGCAGACCTGCCGGGTGGGTGTAAGCACCCCATTTCCAGGTGAGGGAGCCGAGGCTCAGAGCAGTTACGTCACCTACCCAGAGCAGAGCCAGGGTCAGGCCCTTGATCGGCCACCGCCAGGCCATCTCTCCTCACGGTGTGCTGGGTCTTGTTTGTTCAGGTGACGATGCCTGGGGAGCCTGTGGATGTGGCGTGCGGTGTGGACCACATGGTGACCCTGGCCAGGTCCTTCATCTGAACCTCCTCCCCGGCCCGCTCGAGCCAGGCCTTGGCCTCAGGACCGCTTGGACTGCGCAGCAGAGGCAGCCGCTGGGGCTCTGGATGGGGCCCGAGAGGGTCGGGGCCCTCCGTGTGGTGTGCCGCGCTCCCCGGCAGCCCGGAGCGGTGTGACTGGAGGTTCTGGGACGGGGTCCCCCCTCCTGCCGAGGGTGAGACGTGCGATGCCGCCGTTATCAGCCGAGCCCCAGGGGTGTGTGGCCCCGGCAGGGCGAGGATGATCTGCTCATCTCGGCTCCTTCTGGGGAACACACGATGGCTTCTGGTGTCACGTCTGGTCTTTGGAAAGCTTAGCCCGTTCAGCCGTCTCTGCTTGCTGCTGGGACACCGACCGAAACCCCTTGCACTGGAGTTCTCCCTGGAAATGCCAGTGGGCGGCAGCCCAGGACCCTGTGGGCCCACGGCTCTCAGCAGCCTTGTAACCATTCTTACTGCCTGGCTTAGAAGACTTGAGGAGCCCCCTCGGGAGGAAGAGCGAGGCCAAATTCTTGTGGGCCAAGGGCTCTGAACACATCCTGCGAAAGCTTGGCTGGAGTACTAGCCTTGGAGAAGGAAAACTCAGAAACAGTGACAAACATCTGCATTAGTGTAACTTGCCTTTTCTTTAAAAACTTTAAAAAATCTCTCTTGGAATAAAGTCTATTTTCTGCTTTTTCGTTTTTAAGAACTGGAGAGGCCTTTTTATTTTAACCTGATCATTTAGAGATTAGCTTTCAAAAACAAGGCTTTTGGTAAAGAGGCAACTAGAAACCAGTGAAAAATACTCTAGAAGGCAGTCCCACTTGAAAACTGTTTGTTTTCTGAGCAGAGTCTGCTCCCACAGTGCAGTTGGGAGAAAATGATGAAGTGTAAAACCAGCTGGGCAATCATGTCGCAAAGCAGGCTCTCGCTCACGGTTTGCCTACATCCCCCATCTTTTATTCATTCACTCAACAAACACTGTTGTACCCCATACTTGTCAGGTACTGTTGATCCCACTGGCTCACATGGTGGCAAACAGAACCCCTGTAAGCAGGTCTCATGACACTTACATTCGAGGAGGCAAAACAGACAAGCAAAATGCAAAGTGCATTAGGTGGTTGCGTGGGCCGTGGAGGAAAAGCCGGAGAGGGACAGACAGGTGGTGCCGGGGGCGGCGGTTTAAAGCGGAGCCGTCACTGACCCGACATCCTCGCTGCGACCTGAGGCAGCTCGAACCGGCCAGGCGGTGTCTGGGGCAGCGGCCCTGGGACCCCTCACTTGGGCTCCTACCACCTCCACTTCTCTGTAGGGGGACCAGTTCTTATGTTTATTACAGCAAAGTTTTTCCATAAACTTGAAACAGAAATTGAAAACCATCTGTCATTTTCCTTCCTGGAGCGTCTAGTTGGGCCGAGGACCATGTCACCCCAGTGGTGAACGGCAGTAGTCCATCCTCAGGGAGATACACGCCTTGAAGCACGTGCTGATTTGAGGAGGGTGATGTCCCCGAAGGGCAGGCCAGGGTCCCCCTAGTGATGTTCGGGGACCGTAGGGGATGGTGGTGATGGAGTGTCTCCGTCGAAGGTGGGAAAGGTTTTTCGCCTCCCCTCGTCCCCTCAAGTGGCAACCATGACTCAGGTCCAGTAATTACTTCCACCTTGGACACGGCACCCAGGGTATATTAAGGGACGTCTTTGGATTTGTCTTAAAACCCAGTGTTGGGACTTCCCTGGCGGTCCAGTGGTTGAGACTTCGCCTTCCAATGCGGGGGGTGCGGGTTCGATCCCTGGTCAGGGAGCTAAGATCCCACATGGCTCATGGCCAAAAAACCAAAACATAAAACACATGCAGCATTGTAACAAGGTCCATGAAGACTTTAAAAATGGTCCACATTAAAAAAAAAAAAAAAAAAAAAAAAATCTAAAAAAACCCCCCAAAACCCAGTGTCTCCCAGTGGGGTCTGTGCCCTTTGTGGCGACAGGGGTTCCCATCTGCCAGGCCCTTCCCATGGCTGTCCTCTGTGCTCGTGTCCCTTCTCAGCTTTTGTCCTGTTTTCAGCCTCTCCCAGCATTTAACACAGAGGCCTTCTACACCATTGGCTCAGCTGCTGTGATTTCTCATTTTGTTCCTGTGAAGGGTCAGTGTTTCAGGCTCTGGGCTCTTCTCACGTTATTGAGTGCATGGATGACACCCTGGGTGAAGCGACCATGGGCCACCTCTGACGTGATCTCTCTTCTCACACTCAGACTCTGTCCATTCACAGATGTTGGGGCCAGTGCAGAGCCCTGAGAAGGCGTAGGGACTCCACCGCCGTTTTGGTGAGTGGACAGCCCCTTCCAAGGCACTTGGGTCTCCGCCTTCCGTCCCCTGAGCCCCCGGCAGACGTGCAGGCTGCCACTTCATAACGATTCTGGGGGAGGGACGGCTCTCACTGTGTGCAAAACCTTAAATCAGCTAATGGAAGACGTGGCTCACCGCTCTCATCAGGTCAGTCCTGACACACTCAGAATCCTGTCATGACCACTCTTGTCCCCTGAATAGATGGTTGCCCATAATAAGTGCCCAAACACTCATGCGCTTGCTGTGTTCTGTGCGACAGTCGGATGCTGAGAACCACAGTCGAAACGGTGCTGACTTGGCCCAGCAGGTGACGGCCTAGCCACGTGCCCGGCTAACCAGGCCCAGGGCGAAAGCTTGGGCTGCGTCCGTGAAGATTGACACTGTTCTCCTGTGTGACACCCGGTCCCAGCACCTCCCGACCGGCAACAAGAGTGACTCAAACTGTCTTCGTGGGCTATTCTTTTTTTATCAGAACTGATCAGCTGCCTCGTGTGGTGTGACGTACAGACAGACCTTGGGGGCAGCACCCAACACAGGCCCGGCCCTGTGAGACAGCCATCATCCCAGTGCCCGCCTAGCCCAGGACTGACCCCCAAGAGCTTATCCCCTCCCCCGAAAGCCCCATACCTGCCTTTCTCTCTCCCAGGATGCATTACCAGCCACCCCCTGAGACTCAGCTTGCATCGATCAAGAAATCCCGGCCTTTCTTCCACACGAACGTTGCTATTTAACCTGGAGCAACAGCCGGCCAGATTAAGCTTGAGCTGAGACAGTGTTTGGAGTCCTTCTAAGATGTCTTTTCTCAGATTTGGGGCCACACTGAGGTGCGTGCTCAGCGGTCACATTTAGAAGGATAAATCCAGATACCGTGGTCACCTCCACAAACCAGGAGTCCACTGTCTTGCCAAGGAGGCAAACAGGTGAGATGGTGGGGGCGGGGATGGCCCATGGGGCTGGAGAGTAGAGTAGCTTAGTCTTGCCATCGCTCTGGTAGCCTGGTGGCAGCACAAGTGCCAGGAGACCAGAGAGTAGAGGACATGAAGCCATGCCCATCAGAAAATGCCCTGTTTGACAAACGAGACCTCATCAGACTTAAAAGCTTTTGCACAGCAAAGGAAACCATCCACAGAACAAAAAGACAGCCTACGGAATGGGAGAAGACATTTGCAAACGATGGGACTGACGGGGTTAATAGCTAAAATATACAGACAGCTCATACAACTCAATAATAATAAAAAACAACAACCACCCAATCAAAAAATGAGCAGAAGACCTAGATAGATGTTTCTCCAAAGAAGACATACAGATGGCCATCAGGCACATGAATGGCTGCTTAACATTGCCAATTATTAAAGAAATGCAAATCAAAACCACAATAAGGTATCATCTCACCCCGGTCAAAATGGCCAGCATCAAAATGTCTACAAATAATTAACGCTGGAGAGGATGTGGAAAAAAGGAAATCCTCGTACACTGTTGGTAGGAATGTAAATTGGTGCAGCCACTATGGGGAACAGTATGGAGTTTCCTTAAAAAACTAAAAGTAGGGACTTCCCTGGTGGCGCAGTGGTTAGGAATCCGCCTGCCAATGCAGGGGACACGGGTTTGAGTCCTGGTCCAGGTAGATCCCACATGCTGTGGAGCAACTGAGCCCATGCACCACAACTACTGAGCCTGTGCTCTAGAGCTCGCAAGCCACAACTACTGAAGCTCGTGTGCCTAGAAGCCCATGCTCTGCAACAAGAGAAGCCACCACAATGAGAAGCCTGTGCACCACAACGAAAAGTAGCCCCAGCTTGCTGCAATTAGAGAAAGCCCATGCACAGCAATGAAGACGCAATGCAGCTCAAACCCCAACCCCCCCGCCCCAAACAAACAAAAACAAAAAAAACTAAAAGCAGAACTACCACATGATCCAGCAATTCTACTCCACTCCTGGGAAAATGTCCAGAAAAAACAAAAACGCTCATTTGAAAAGATATATGCACCCCGGTGTTCATAGCAGCACTATTTACAATAGCCCAGACATGAAAACGACCCAAGTGTCTGTCAACAGATGATTGGTTTAAGATGTGGTGTGTGTACACACACACACACACACACACACACACACACACACACACACACACACACACACAATGGAATATTACCCATAAAAAGAATGAAATATTGCAGCAACATGGATGGACTTGGAGGGTATTATGCTAAGTGAAATAAGTCAGAACGACAAAAGCTGTATGATATCACTTATAGGTGGAATCTAAAAAATAACACAAATGAAGCAATATACAAAACAGAAACAGACTCACAGACATAGAGAACAAACTCATGGTTACCAAAGGGGAAAGTGGGGGAGGGAGGGATAAATTAGGAGTTTGGGATTAACAGATACCCCCTACTACACATGAAATAGATTAGCAACAAGGATTTACTATATAACACAGGGAACTGCATTCAATATCTTACGATAACCTATAATGGAAAATAATCTGAAAAAACATATACAAGTCAATCACTTCCCTGTACACCTGAAACTAACACAATACTGTAAATCACCTATAATTCGATCAGGAAAAAAGAAAAAAGAAAACGCCCCATTTGAGTCTACCTTTGGAGACAAAAAGCGACCGTAAGCTGTTCCATAGCTGCAGCCGACCTTCATTCCAGTGGGGGCATGTTGAAGCAGAGGCTGATTGGGTACATTCTCCGGAGCACCGTCCATACGCCAGGACCTGCCAGTGCTTGGGATGCAGCAATAAGGACGCATCATCCTTGCAGGTACACTGGGGCTGACTGCCCCTGATCACTCTGGCCTCAGAATGGAGGAAAGCAGGATGAGGCCACTGCCCCACAGAGCAGCCAAAGGAGGCGGTGTTCTCCATGGGGACTCTGGGATTCCTTTATGCAGATTCTGCCCCTTAACCCCGGCCTTCTCAACCTCGGCTGTGTAACAGGATCATCTGGGGATGTTTTTGTTTTGTTCCTGATATACATTTTGTTTATTCATTCATCAGTTGATGGATATTTGGGTTGGTTCCACTTTGGGGCTATTGTGGATAATGCCAAAACATTCATGTACACATTTTACGTTAGCCCAGAGTTTGATTTTTTGGGGAACATTCCCATACAAGTTTTTGGGTATGTTTTCAGTTTTCTTGGGTAGATACCTCAGATTGGGATTGCTGGGTCCTTCATTTAAAGTTTTAAGTTTTGACACCTGTATTGTGGAATCCACAACACACTGTAATACTGAGTTCCTAGGCACTGATTATCTATTTCCTGGAATACAACTTGAGCTGCTACCTACAGGCCTGTTAGGGGGTCTCTGCTCACTTCTCCTCAGCTCTCTCTACTCAGGACCCTCTC